CAATGGCCATGTCTACACCCCAAGCTCAACACCTGGAAACAATTTGCCTTGTGTCAATGGCGACAAATGCATCACTTATATTTTCTGTCCATGATAAATAATTATCTGTATATATAGTGTTATTCTTACAGATGTTATACAGAATTGTTAAACTGTGTTTAAATGTATCTTTAGCCTTTTTTTTATTTTGAAAAGAGTAGAGAACGGTTGAAAACCTTGTTAGGTGTTTACTCTTCACAATTTTTTTTTCAGCACATGCTGCCCCATCACACCCTTCACAGTACTCTACTGCACATAATGCCCATCCTTATACCCTCCCCACCCTCCTGCATATGTACCTGCCACCATCATACCACCTAAACGCCTCCAACTTGAGTCTGTTTTCCCCATATTGGCACTATAGGCTTGATTTACTAAAGGCAAATAGACTGTGCACTTTGCAATTTGCATTTGCACTCTGCAAGAGCAGTTCCTCCAGAGCTTAGTAGATGATCAGAAGCTCTGCTGACTTCCATCATCCAATCCATTAATTCTTGTACATGCACAAGATTGGGTATTTTTTTGCAAAGTAAAGCTGTACCTCATTCACTAAGTTCTGGAACAACTGCACTTGCAGAGTGCAACTGCATTTTGCAAAGTGCACAGTCTATTTGCCTTTAGTAAATCAACCCGCTGAAGCATTTGCATTCTGCAGAGCAAAGTAGGGACTGGCCAGAAAGGGATTACTTTGGAGGCATTTGCTAGCTTGCACATGTACTGCAATGTATGTGAACTAAAAATCCCTGTTTTTTGTGCAAAGTGTGATAGAAAGGGTGTATAGCAATGTGCAGGGGGTTCATCCAAAATTTTTACTGATGCGTTTTGCATGTGTTTTTGATGCATTTGCGATGCATTAAATAATAATAATATGGATTCTTGTACTATCTTCTCAGCTAATAACGATTTCTAAAAACATCTCAAACGTAACACAGGAGAGTTTGTGAGGTGTGTGTCACGCGTTTGCAGATGATTTTGTTTGACATGAATGGAGGCTTTTGGGGAGCAGTAAATCCAGCCAAACGCTACAGTATATGTTGGTGCAACACTACGCAAAGTGACAAAAATGCATCCATGTGAACAACACTCTCTGCTGCAAAGCACATAATAGACACAGAGGGCTTGATTAACCAGTTGCCGACCGCAGATAGCCGAATGACGGCTACACTGTGGCCAGCCAGTTCTGGGAGGGCGTCGTATGACCCCACGGACACAGCTGATCACGTGACGTGGTAAAAGGCCAATCACAGCGGCTTTTTACCACGTGATCAGCCGTGTCCAATGACACGCTGATCACAGGGAAATGCAATTGCCGGTTCTTGGCTGCACTTTCCTCACGCTGTCAGAATGTGGGGAAAGTACTGCCGAGAACCGGCAGTTGTCAGAGCAGGGATCAGCACCGATCATCAGGGCACTGATCATCAGTGCCTTGATGATCGGTGCCCAACAGTGCCACCCACCAGTTCTACCCACCTGTGCCCAGCAGTGCTACCCACCAGTGCCCATCAGTGCCAACCACCTGTGTCACCCACCTGTGCCCACCAGTGCCGCCCACCTGTGCCCATCAGTGCCACCCACCTGTGTCACTCAACTCTGCCCATCAGTGCCACCCACATTTTTCTCATCAGTGCCACCCACACTGTGCCCATCAGTGCCACCCACCAGTGCCCTTCAGTGCAGCCCAGCAGTGCTGACAGTCAGTGCCCAGCAGTTGTGCCAATCAGTGCCCAGCAGTGTGCGCCAGTCAGTACTGCCTATCAGTGCTGACTATCAGTACCCATCATCAGTGCCGCCTATCAGTTCCACCTATCAGTGCTGCCTATCCGTGCCACCTCATTAGTGCTGCCTATCAGTGCCCTTCAGTGCCCATCAGTGCTGCCTATCAGTGCCCATCAGTGCTGCCTATCAGTGCAGCCCCACCAACGCACATCAGTAAAGGAGAAAAATTACCTGTTTGCAAAATTTTATAATAGAAACAAAGAAACCTTTTTTTTCAAATTTTTTGCACTTTTTTGTTTATAGCGCAAAAAATAAAACCCCCAGCGGCAAGTAAATACCACCAAAAGAAAGTTCTATTTATGAGAAAAAAATGCTAAAAATTTAATATGGGTGCAATGTTGCATCACCATGCAATTGTCATTCAAAGTGCGACAGCGCTGGAAGCTGAACATTGGCCTGGCAGGAAGGGGGTATAAGTGCCTGGTAGGTGAGGGGTTAACTAAAACCGGAGAGTGCAAAATCTGGTGCAGCTCTGCATGGTAGCCAATCAGCTTCTAATTTCAGCTTCCTTAATTAAGCTTTGACCAAAAAAAAAAAAAACCTGGAGGCTGATTGGTTTCTCTGTACAGTTGCACCAGTTTTTGCACACTCAAGTTTTAGTAAATCAACCTCAGAGCCCTGACAGGCATTCGTGAGACTTCAAAAACGCAGATGAACCAATTGATTTTGACGCTAATATAAACTTAGCCCAACAATAATCTTCTCTTTCTTAGTCTCTTTTGGTCGGTTAGATATACAGTTAGGAGCATTTTGAATGTCTGATCAATAAGTGCAAAAAAAAATAGCTGTTGATCCTGCCAGAAATTTTTTCAACTGATAACTTCCTGTGCTCTCTGCCTGTGCTGCATTCGTATCTGTCTCTGTAATATCACTGTGGATTATGATTGTGCAGGAGGGGGTTGGGGTTGTATTCTGTTGTGCTTCCTAGGGTGGCAACACTGCTCCATAGATACAGTGCATTGAGTGAGCGTTGTCACCCTAGGACAGAAAGTGTGTTAAAGGCACGATCAGCCAGGGTAAAATAAAAGAAAAAAGCCTTAAAACTAAGGCAGCCACCATATCTAAGGACTGGTAAGCTGCAATATGTTGACCTTGGGTTTACATACACTTTAAAGTACAATTCCAGCCTAACCCTAACTAGTCATAAAAATGTCCCCTCCCCCACCTAACACTTATTCTGACTAACCTGCGCAAAAAATTGTATATACTTACCTATTTTCAGGTCACTCTGGTCTGGTGACATGATCTGGCTCCCCTGTCTCAGCAAACGGCAGCTGCAGGGGAGAAGAGGGAGTGCCGACAATGGATGGGCCATAAGAACCTATGGGTGACATCATCACTCCTGGATTTTCCAGCCATGGTTGAACACTCTCTTCTCCCCTGCAGCTGTTGCTGGCTGGCTGGACAGGAGCGAGCTGAAAATAGGAAAGTATATACATCTTTCTTACACAGGTTAGTCAGCATAGGTGTGAGGAGGAGGGAGGGAGCATTCTAGGATTAGTTAGGGTTAGGCTAGAATTTCTAATTAACCCCTTCGCGCCTGCTCCATTAAAAAAGTTCTGAACTGCGGGGGGGGGAAGGGAAAGAACGACTGATCACTTGACCACTGTCAAATTGGTCACATGATTGGGAACCAATTGATAATGAACAGGGCTGGTGCTAGACTATTTTGCGCCCTAGGCAAGACCAGTTACGTGCACCTCCCCCACCCCCCCCCCCAAAAAAATGAAATTTTAGCTGTAGTTCTACTTCACCCTTCCTAGCACACATCCTCTTTTCCCTCAAGTTTTCCACCCTAGCACAAATTTTCTCTACCAATCCCCCCTCCTAACATAAATCCCTCCAATCCCACCTCCTAACACACATTCCCCAAATCCTTCTTCCTAGAACAACCCCATCCAAAATACCCTTCCCAGCATGAATCTTTCCTCCCCACTCATATCCCCCCTCCTAGTACAAATCCTTCCCCCCTCCTAGCACAATCCCCCCTTCCTAACACAAATTGCCCCCATCCCCCTCTCCTAGCACAAATTGCCCCCCCATCCCCTCTCCTAGCACAAATCCCCCCCATCCCCTCTCCCAGCACAAGTCCCCTCCCAAATCCTCCCTCCTAGCACAACCCACCCCCTCCAATCCTCCCTCCTGGTACAAATTACCCCCCAATCCCCCCTCCTAGTACAAATTCATCCCCCTTCCTAGCACAATTTTTCCCCCATTCCCCCTTCCTAACACAAATCCCCCCATCCCCCTCTCCTAGCACAAAATGCCCCCCCCCTCCCCAATCTCCTCTCCTAGCACAAATCCCCCCAATCCCCTCTCCCAGCACATGTTCCCTCCCAAATCCTCCCTCCTAGCACAACCCACCCCCCATCCCCCTCCTAGTACAAATTCCCCCCCCCAATCCCCTCTCCTAGCACAAATCCCCCCCAATCCTCCCTCCTAGCACATCCACCTCCCCATCCCCCCTCCTAGTACAAATCCCCCCCAATCCCCTCTCCTAGAACAAATCCCCCCCAATCCCCCCTTCTATTAAACATTCCTCCCAAACTCCTCTCCTAGCACACATCCCCCCCAATCCCCACTCCCAGCACAAATTCCCTCCCAAATCCTCCCTCCTAGCACAAACCCCCCCCCCCCCCCAATCCACCCTCCTAGTACAAATTCCCCCCAATCCCCCCTGCCTACACAGATCCCCCCATCCCTGCTCCTGACACAAATACCCCCCCTAAAATCTCTTAACACAAATCGCCCAATCCCCCTCACCTAACACAAACTCACCCCTAATCCCCCTCCTAGCATAAATCCCCCCAATCCCCCCTCCAGCACCAATCCCCTTTCTTTAAACCCTATATCCAGACATGGAAGAGAGTAGGGAAACCTGTGGTCATGGCTGCCTCCTAGGCAGCAGTGCACCCCTAGGCGGCTGCCTAGTTTGCCTAGTGGTAGCTTTGGCCTTGTTAACGGGGACCAAGTGCTGTCTTTCACAGTTCGGCCTCTGTGCCGGGAGCGCACATTGAGCTCACTCTCAGCACAGAAACATCAGTCGCCCTGCGACGCACATGTGCGGCATGCAGGCGTTACAGCCCACCCTTTTTGCGAGCGCCCCATGTGTTAGGCAGTCGTAAAGGGGTTAATACCACTGAACTGCTACAGTATAAATGTGTTTTATTTTTTTTTCTTTCCAGATGTTCTATTGGCCGATGGCATTTGTCATCCCCCGTCGGTGTTTGCCGTCCATCTTCAGTTTAATCTCCTCTACCAATTCTGGATACACACCGAGGTGAGCGCCATTCCCTATCGTAATGCCGTTCTTCGCCCCGGGCACTGTCCTGGAAATTTCGGGGTAGGACCTGATTTATGGTGTACGAGAAATCTTTGTCTGACTCCCTTAAAGAGAAACATCTGTGGGGTTTTTGCTCCTTTTACTGAATATATTGCTAAGTTTATAAGGAACAATGAGACCAGTTGGTCTCAATTAGATAACATTCTTTTGTTAAATCTGTCTAATATCAAACTCTTTCCTCCTTGGCGGAACATGTGTCTGTATCTTGTAACCGCTTAGACCCTGATAGGAGAAAACATTTCAGATAGGGTTCCCTGCCAAGAAAAAAAAAAAAAAAAAGAAGCCAGGGCGGGATTGGGCTGATAAATGTAACCAATTGATATGTATTATATCTTGCAGGTAATTCCGATTATTTTTTACATCACTCATAAATAAAAGTAATGGCATTGGGTGCGGTTCATAAAGATTTTTTTTTCTTTATTATCTTTCTGAATTCAGATTTCAATTTTATCTGGATGGCCAAAGATGAACAAATAAGAAAGTGTCCTCGAGGGTCCAAAGTGTGTTTTTTAAAAAAAAATAAAAAAATAAAAAAGGAGTTTTAACTACTTCAATACCGGGCACTTTCACCCCCTTCCTGCCCGGGCCAATTTTCAGCTTTCACACTTTGAATGACAATTGCGTGGTCATGCAACACTGGACCCAAATTATATTTTTATCATTTTTTTTTCACACAAATAGAGCTTTCTTTTGGTGGAATTTAATTACTGCTTTTAAAACAAATTGTAGTGAGCGCTCTTAAATAAATGCAGCAGCTTGAACACTCCAGGTAACCACAATACCTATAAAATATGTATATATAAATGTAAATAATAACAGTGCAGCACTCAAAATGAATTAAAGGCAGTATAAAGTCAATGCGATATCCGCGGTGCTGTCTGGATTTGATGAAAACTTCCAGAATTTTACTGCTTCAAATAATAGCAATGCGCACTCACCAGAAACGCATGGATTATGCGCATGTAGGAATAATCATCCCAGATGTCAGATCCATCAAAGACCAGGTGGTGGGCATCCCTCTCACGGTGGGACATCAAGGACTCCAAATCAGGTCCAGAGGTCCCCTTAACCTCCATAACGGTATTCCCGAGTGTAGCTCGGGTAAAAATGTCTCCAAAAGCGGTAACCCCCGAGCTACACTCGGACCATGCGGTGCTGCATAGGGAGTCCCTGCAGCACTTACAATTGTCCTGCGCTCCCGCATGTGTCCCCTGCAGCGTCCCCGGCCATCTCCTCCGGCAGATGCCGGCATCCGGCTCCTGTGTTCCAGTCCCTGTGACGTCGGGACGTACGGGCAAACCGCCGGCGGCGAGAAATTTGAAAATTTAAAAAAAATGTCATTTTTTTCAAAACGATTTTTCATAGTAAAACATTGCTGTTTCAACCCATTTCACATACATTTTTTCCCGAGTGCTTTGTCCTGCGCCCTGTCTGCATTTTGAATTTTCTTTCTGCCTGGAAACTAAGAAAAGTCCACGGCGTCCAAAAAGCGTCCCTTTAAGGTCAAAAGCGGTTTTAGACACGGCTAGAGAACAGCGATAGTAAATCAGAACCACTTGCAGAATTGAGTGATAATGATTGGTGGGGGGGAAATTCCTCATTCAGACACTGAAAAACGATTTTGCGACTTTGCTCAGCAAATGTGTGTGAACTTGGCGCTATATATTCACATTTCAGTGTTTCACACTTGGTTTGATTATATTATTGAATTAAATGTAATATATTTTTTATTTTTTTTATGATTATTTATTAAATTATAATTTTATGATTTCGTGTAAAACAAATTTAAGTTTTATCCTACCAGTTATGTTTACTAATACCTAGTACTCTTGTTCGGGACAGATTTCAGTGGCAGTTAAAGTCCTAAATTACAGTCTACAATTAAAAAACTACACTGCTATTTCCATGCCAAAAAAATGGGTATATTTCCCCAGATGTCAGATCCAAAAATCGAAAGGTAATGGGACATCACCCTAGGGAGGTTTAAGGTCCGTCAGGTAATCCACACTGATGGTAATGATCCCTCCTCTGGATGGTATAGGCACCTTCTCTCCTCAATGAATTCTGATGCCACCAACACAGGAATAGTTTCTTGGAGTCAAACAATCCTTAGCCCAGAGACAATCTAACTTTTAAACCTCAGCTGAAGGAACAATCACCCCAGGTGTATGCGTATCAAAGCCCTTTGGCTTTGGAAGTTTTCATCAAATCCAGACAGCACCGCGGATATCGCATTGACTTTATACTGCCTTTAATTCATTTTGAGCGCTGCACTGTTTATATTTAATTACTGCTGTTTGCTGTTTTTTTTTTTTTTTTTTTTTTTGCTAAATAAATCAGAAAGAAACAAAAAATTTGAAAAAAAAAAACCCCACGTTTTTCTTTGTTTCTGTTTATAACATTTTGCAAAAAAAATATTGGTTCTTCATAAATTTAGGCCAAAATGTATTCTGCTACATTTCTTTGGTGAAAATAGCCCAAATCAGTGTATATTATTTAATCAGTGGGAAAATTATAGAGTCACAACCTATGGTATATATGTTTTTGAAAATCGATCAGTCCTGATGTACTGATGGCCTATCATTTTTATCATATTTTTTATCACCAGAACAGTGTAAATACCCCCCAAATGACCACTTTTTGTGGAAAGTAGACCGTCCACGGTATTTAGTAAGAGGAATGGCAAATTTTTTGACAGTGTCATTTTTGGAAAAATTTAAAAATTAAAATGTATTCTTCAACAATTTTTTTTTTTAACATACTGTCACCAGTGCAGTGCAGCTTCCTCATAATACTGGTGTAGTGGTGATCAAGGACACTGACTGGTGACAGTATGTAAAAAAAAAAAAAAAGTTTTAATAATTTTTTTCAATTATTTAAATCTTTTTTCTTTTTCTTTACATTTTTGTTTTTAACATACAGTGACCAGAGCAATACAGTGTTACCATAGTAACACTGTACTGCTCTGGGTAGGTGATCAGGATTTTTTTTTTTTGTACACACTATTATTATTATTATTATAATACAGGATTTATATAGTGCCAACAGTTTGCTCAGCGCTTTACAATATAAACACTATGATTGCTTGTAACTGAATTTTACAGTTATAAGCAATCAGTTTTTTTTTAATGAAAATGATTCATGCAGTGTTTACTATTGTGATTAGCTGTGATTGGCCACAGCTAACCACATGGTACAGCTGGGCCCTATCTGTACCACGTGGTTACTGTGGCCAATCACAGAGCTTATCACACTAGCAAAAATTGAAATGCACGAATCAGAACCTTTCATTGTGCACAATTGTCATGTGATCTGCTGTGATTGGCCACAGACATCACATGGTACCGGCAGCAGCAATCTGTCATTGGCTGTGCCCGTGGACACAGGGGGGGGGGGCAGATCACGCTGGAGCATGGTCCGTGGGGCATGTGCGATCCTGGGAGGGTGTCTTATGACATCCTCCCAGGATAATAGGGCTCCTGCCTGACCAACATATTACAATAGATTGGGCCATAGAGGGGAAATCTTCCAATGGGAACACTAGTTCTGGTGATAACCAGGGATTCTCTCACTTTGGAGGGATTTCCTCTCACTTCCTGCTTTGGTGATGGGATAGCAAGTGAAGGGAAATCTCCTCTATGCAGCAGAGATGGCAAAAAAGCCTGACAGAGGTTATAACCCTCCAAAGTATTAAAAAAAATCTGTACCATGTGGTTACTGTGGCCAATCACAGAGCTTATCACAATAGTAAAAAATGAAATGCATGAATCAGAACCTTTCATTGTGCACAATTGTCATGTGATCTGCTGTGATTGGCCACAGACATCACATGGTACCGGCAGCAGGCCGGTACAGCAATCTGTCATTGGCTGTGCCTGCAGACACAGGGGGGGGGGGCAGATCACGCTGGAGCGTGGTCCGTGGAGCGTGTGCCATCCTGGGAGGGTGTCCTATGACATCCTTCCAGGATAATAGGGCTCCTGCCTGACCAACATGTTACAATAGATTGGGCCGTAGAGGGAAAATCTTCCAATGGGAACACTAGTTCTGGTGATAACCAGGGATTCCTTCACTTTGGAGGGATTTCCTCTCACTTCCTGCTTTGGTGATGGGATAGCAAGTGAAGGGAAATCTCTTCTATGCAGCAGAGATGGCAAAAAAGCCTGACGGAGGTTATAACCCTTCAAAGTATTAAAAAAAGGTTTTGCCTTTAGTTACACTTTAATAAAAAAAATTGGTAAATTTAAAGCTCTACGTGATCTCTGAAACTATGAATGTGAAATATTCAAATTAATTATATGTTATTTATGCCTAAAAAAAAAAAATTAAACCAATTCAAAACATTCTTGTTCTAGTCCCATCATAATAAATACATAGAGTACAATCATGAGCAGTGCACAATAGGCTAATAAATGACTGGAATCCTAAACTGGACTAAAGGGTTTTTTTTTATTATATTTACCTTCAAGGTAAAACCTTACTTAGTTTTAAAAAAAATGTACCATAAAAAAAAGCTACAAAAGCCATTTTGAAATGTAAAAATTATTTTTAAACATACCTTTTCCATTTTAATTTGTAGCTGCTTTAATTTTCAAAAAAAAAAAAAAAAAGAAAGAAATTAATTTCTTAAAACAGAAAAAGGTGCAAATCTGCAAGAAAGTTAATTAAAATCCTTTCAATGTACACAGATTACTCAGATGTTCTTTTTCTAAAAAAAAAAAAAAAAATGGAGCTACAATTTAGAAGCCAATTTATAAAGCAGTGAATATAGCATTCAGCATGCATTCACTGCAGGTGAATCTTAAAAAAAAAAAAACATTTAGCATATAAAAATGCTACATAAGCCATTTTGAAATGTAAAAATTGATTTTTTAAATATCTCTTCCATTTCAATCTTTAGCTGTTGTAATTTTTTTTTTTTTTAATTACAAATAGAT